ACATACATCTCCCTTTCCCATTACCGTTATCAACTACTACTGCTGCTGCTGCTGCTTCGTCATCTCCTTCTTTTTCTTCTTCTTCCCCTTCATTACTTCCTCCCTCATGCTCTCCTCTTCCAGCACTGCCTTTTCATCCTCCTCCTTTTTTCTTCCTCTTCTTCCTCATTTATCATTATTGTCATTATTACAACTAACATATTTTGAATACCTACTATGTGCAAAGCACTGTTTTGCTTTATATGGATTACCACTTAGTATTCATAATAATTATATGAATTGGTTCTCTTATTATTTCCATCTTGCAAATAAGGAAACTAAGGTGCAGAGAAGGTAGATAAATTAACCACAGTCACACAGCTAGAAAGTGGCAGAACTAAGACTGAAACCAGACAGTCTGGCCCCACTGAACCATTTGATGTTGCTGAACCATTCCACTATGCTGCTTAGAATGTCAGGAGTTACTGAGGAGAAAAGACTGTTTTGCNTTTTTTAAAAAGATGACCGGTAAGGGGATCCTAACCCTTGACTTGGTGTTGTCAGCACCACGCCCAGCCAGTGAGCGAACCGGCCATCCCTATATGGGATCCGAACCCGGGGCCCCGGTGCCATCAGCACCACACTCTACCGAGTGAGCCACGGGCCGGCCCATGATTTTCCTTCTGAGAAGAAAACATTTCTTGTCCTTTTCATCTGTTTGTTTCCAGGTGGGCAAAGGAATTGGGTTCAGGTGTTCTGTAACGGAGCTGTGCCCACAGAGCTGGCACTGCTGTACATGATAGAAAATGGCCCTGGAGAAATCCCAATCGATTTTTCCAAGCAGTACACTGCTTCCTGGATGTGTTTGTCTCTCTTGGCTGCACTGGCCTGCTCTGCTGGAGACACATGGGCTTCCGAAGTTGGCACAGTTCTGAGTAAAAGCCCACCAAGGCTGATAACAACCTGGGATAAAGTTCCAGTTGGTGAGTTTGACTTGAATTTCTTAAAAAAAAAAAAAAAATCCACCCCTCTTAATTTAGTGTATTTCTTATTTAAGAGCCTTTTAAGAATTTTATTTATATTTAGTCTAAATTGGAAAAGTGCTATAGGCCATTTAATTGGTGAATAAATAATACTTCCAGAAAATGTTAGTAAGATTTAGATAAACAATACAGGAACATAGGATTGACCCACAAACATATCAATGGGAAAGGAAAAAAAAGAACAATGGAGTATTTCTTGAGGGCCTTTTATGTAATCGGTGCTTTAACATACATCTCCCTTTCCCATTACCGTTATCAACTACTACTGCTGCTGCTGCTGCTTCGTCGTCATCTCCTTCTTTTTCTTCTTCTTCCCTTTCATTACTTCCTCCCTCATGCTCTCCTCTTCCAGCACTGCCTTTTCATCCTCCTCCTTTT